AAAAGCGGTACACATCCCAACAACCACACAATAGAGCGAGAGTTACCAATAGCGCCGGTGATAGGCTTAAAACACGGCTCTTTACGTTTCGGCCGCCAGCATGGTATGTCCACATCAAACGCTGCAGTTTAGTTTTATCAGTGCGATCATAACCGGAAACCATTTTTGTTTAATAGGGAAATTTAAATATTCTATCATTAGTAGGTCGCGCTCGGGGAGCACCACGGCCTACTGGGCACAACAACGTGAGTTGAAGCCGACGCAATATGTAAACGTATGCGAGACTGAAACACGCTTTGTATGCGGCTATACGCCGATACCATGACGTATGTGGTGATGTGAAACTCGAGCATCGTGGTCAGGGCAATAACAACATTCTAGCCTCGGCCGATTATAGCCGGGGAGTGCCACGGCTTATAAGACACAAAACGACAGCGTGTATTTGGGCCGGTGCAACACCTATTCCCACGCAAGCCTGCAACAATGTGTGTATACGGCTTTAGGCATATACCATGAAAAGGTGTCTCACTGTACGTCACGGTGAGTTCTTGGCCGACACAGTAGGCCGCTAGGTGAGTCAAGGGGCCCCAGTCAATGTAAGTCGCAGGCCCCAGCCATGTCCCTATTTCTAAAATGGATCCCATAGCCCAGGTCACGCTAGTGGCATAATGTTCAGGAATCGTTTGGAGCACCTTGCAGTAGTCTCCAAATGCAACGAAGCTATGTCATGCAGTGCAAATGGAGATTTCGAAGCAGGCGTCCGTAGGTTAAGTTGAAGAGTTTAGATGCAAATGTGATAAAAGGTCTTCCGCTGGCTTACGCAACAGATACGGAAGAACGTTTCAGAAATGGAGGGTGCCCTTAGTAATATTGTTGGCGATCCTTCCCTTCAAATTCCATAACTGCAATGCTCTACATCCTCAGAAAGCGGGGATACCGTCGCACACGATTCTTCCTCAGCATAGGAGCCTTAGGCACATTTTCATATCTTAATTACTCTGCTTCACCATGTGCAACCATTGGCCTTTATTTGTCAGATAAACACGCTTGATGGGAGATATATGCCTATAGCTGCAAAATAACAATTGTTCATGCTCGCAGACGACTAGGTACTGCGGCGGCCTCAATGTACGCTGCGCGTATGTGTCACGTAGTCCGTGGTGACGTGCAGTTGAAATCTGCCGAGGATTGCACATCTTGATTGCTTATAAACACTTTTAAAAAGGTATTCGCTGATGATAGCACCTATTGAAAATGTAGACATGTTTGAAATGAGATGATGCTGGCGGCCGAAATGTAGAGTCCGCTTATGTCTATAAACGACTCTATTGGCAATTCTGGATTGCCTTAATGGAACGACATCTTGTTCAGACTAACAACACCACTAAAGACCACTATATCGGCAAGTTTGAAATGGGTGTATAAGTCTTACGGCCGAAAGATAAAAACTACGATTATGTCCATCAGTGACCATATTATGAACTCGAAATGAACTCACCTAAGAGGCATTTTGTTCAGGAATGATTTTAAGCGCCCTACAGTCGTTTCCAAACGCAGCGAAGCAACGTCACGCATTGAAATTGGAGAGTTCGTGGCATACGGCCGGAAGATGAATTGAAGAGTTGGGCTACAAATGTAATACAAGGTTTGGCGTTGGCACCCGAAACATAGGCGGAGGAACGCTCCAGAGAGCAAGAGTGCTCGTAGTCATATTGTAGTCGGTTCTTCCAATCCATTGCCATAACGCTAATGCTCTGCATTCTCAGAAAGTGTCTAATGGTGAGGTGCCATGACACTCACGGAACCCGCGTTTCAGGTCTACGAGAAACCATTGCCATCTAAATGGTGTCAAAATGGTGTCCGTCGGTGGTTCCACCGATGGACACTATTTTGAAATGTTTGTTAAAGACAGATATTGCCAGTAGCCGAAAACGTCGGGTCAGTTCATGCCTTTCTCCGGCCTCATTGGCAACTCAGTGTGGACATGCCTGAATGCGGTTTGTTCATGGATCACGCGTACCTCCTTGCAGTAGTTTCTTAAGGAAGCCTGCTGGGAAAGGTGGTTTTCGCCATTATGAGGTTCCTAGTGATACGAAACGAAGACCATAACTCGTGTCGCGTGACGTCATGAGCAGCAGGTAAAACGCAACTCATTTCTTATACTTTTTTCAAATGGCATTACCATGAGAATGCAAACCACAAGTACGTGGGTACATGCACGTTCACCGCAACAGTCTCCCGGAACGTCGTGAGCAGCGGAAAAAACACAGCCGAAAAACGTGTCTCACTGGAAGTTTTCAACTGATGACTGATTCATTCGTCCAAGTGACGTCATCAGCAGGAGGCAGGACACGTGTTATTACGAACACCTGCTTGGTTTTCAATGTTGTCATCTTAAGTAGCTTGTGAATCCTTGTGATGTCGTGAGAAGTAAAGGAAGCAAAATTTTCACATTTCTACCAGTGACGTCGTAAGAAATAATAAAGAACTACTACTGTGCACCTTACATGATATCAATGTCGGGACTATAGCACTGCAGGCAGGGATACGTCGCCAATACAGTACTGACATCCTCAACAGTCCTTGACACTTGCCGGTAAGGGTTTCATGACTCTATATGGCAGTCTTTACAGTATATCGTGCCTTGATATTAATAATCTGCCATAAAAGCTAGCGAACGCCACGTTATCTATGTCAAACGGTCCACCAAAGCATTTTTTACGACCAGTACCAAGACAAAAAATCCACAGACAACCCATCCACTAATCCGCCACCCAACACAGCGCTCGCGATGAGAATGGCCGGTTGGCGTCATTTTTCGTGCGTTTCGAGATATTCTCTAGGTCCGGCTGCCAGATGCTGCCAGGTATTACTGTTGCCACAAAGCGATTCCACAATGGCATCAAACGTTAACGTAAGGGGACGAATTTTTTAAGGCTTCAGATTTTGCTGCTTAGGGTCGTTTTTGAACCTTGAAACATTGCCATCGGTTACAAGTCAGCTTTCCCCGTCATGTCTGATGCTTTCTCAATATCTTCAAATGTGAAACATTCTCTTTAACATTTGAAAACGAACTTCCTATGGCATGAACAATGCAAGAATAGCACAAGATAACCGACACCCTTTGCCGCTGGATGAATGTGGCAGAGCCTCTTTGGTTGAAAGGGTGCATCCGCACTTTTTAGTAGTTGGACTTTTGCAGCGGCCAAAATGCACTAAACGCGCTGATTTTAAGCCCCGCGGTCGTTAAATCTTCTTCAGCGCCGTATTTTGAAAAGCTGGCAGCATCTCTCACAAATTTAATAGCTTCAACGGTAGGCTTGATATACTTGGATCGAAATTCGAATGTATCCTTACTGTTTCATTCCAGAAAAAATAGCTGATCTTTTCGTTCCGCCAGCAACTGATGATGATTTATTTTCGCGTAGCGTTATATTTCATTTTTACATGGGCACCGGACTTCCCAAAAGGCAAAACTGAACATTTGTGCACACATGCGGCCGACGCGCCTTAATATCCGATAGCTTACTTACTAACTTCCTCATCTTGCTAGCGATCCCGATCCTCAGCAAGCGCCTGCTTAACGCTTTGCCGCCCGTTTGCCGAACAGTGCTCAGAGTGGTTCAATTGATCTTAGGGAAATTCGGAGGCTGTGGTTTATTGATGTGGCTGCTATTTTTGGCCTAAGAGCCCTTTATCATGGCAGATTAGCAGGCACAGAGATTACCAAAAGGGAAATCGGGGAGCAAGCTTCAGGCTTACTCCCAAACCGACCTGAACGCACTACATTGTGGCATAGGGGGCAGCACCTCATAGATGGCAGCACCTCTACCTCTTGTCTCGCCCAGCCAGCAGTGGAATAGCTTTCGAATTGCAGGCACGTGCTAACAACCTTCACGAAGCTCTAGTGGCTGTGTCCCTTTGCTATGACGCCTGATTGTAAAGTGATTCAGCCCCATCCAAATCAGTCAGCCCTTATCGTAACCATGTGAAACAACGATCAACCCAATCAAAACAGCCCAACTCTGCTCTCTCAACCCAACTCAACTCTACATCAAACTAAACTGCCGCTTAGACAGCACGCAGTCCGCTATTCAAATGCACCGTTAAGCCATTCTGAAGCTTCAATGAGACGCCCATTTTGCCCGTGTTCCAGTTTTCCGTATTTCTTGAGACCGAGTCGGAGACGGATTTATTCGAGATCAAGTCGAGGCCAAATCGATCTTTCTTTTCCAATGGTCTGCGTTCAAGTCTAGTTAATCCACACAACAGATCGACTCACTAAGCCGGAGTCTTAAGAGTTCATGGCGGCGGACGCGACTCCGTGTGCTGCTGACTTTCACCATATCTTACGCTACGCAGTGCCATGGCACGATGGCCGCTGTTTCAGCCGCTGCGGGTCTTGGCCAGCTGCCAGCTAGTGACCTGTTGCGACGCCTTGTTGAGACGCGATCACACAGATCTGGCACAGATTGGTCCCAGAGTCCGACGCCAAACCACCTGAGATACAGGAGCTGCGGCATGTCTGGATGCACTCTCTTCCGAGTGCGCGAAACAAGTCACCGGCGTTTGTTCATATTGGTTGCGCAAAAAGACTGAGAAAGTGCTCGCCCGTCTCTGGCACACTAACGCTTCAGTTTGCCGTGAAAGCCTGGACAAAAAAACTGGGCTCATGAACGAACTTAATGAAACGTGCCGCACATAACTTGAACGCTTACAATGTCAATAGGACAAAGGAACAAGTTTTTAATTCGCAAATATATACTTCATGGTGTATGAACATGTTGATTGACAGCATCCAAGGCGTCGTACAAATACCACTGCTAAAGCTGGACACGAAGTAGTGTTTCGGCTTCACCAGAAAACACTGGGCACTGTCACCGAGGAGCGCCGCAGCCGTCGGGCGCCCGTTCTCAGGCGCGCCTGCCTCAGCAGCCCCGTCCCGACCGGACGCCCCTGAGGTCGAGGCCCGCACACGCACGGATGATGCCCGTACATACCAGCTCTGCTCTGCGGCTGGCCCAGCTCTTCCACAACTCGTCACTCGGCGCTCGCTCAGCTCTTCTTCACCAGCAGCGCGGCAGCGTCCACTCCCTGAAGCCGCTCTCCTTGGAATGAACTGCGCATTGGCGAGCGCTGATGCAGCCCAAGGCCACGCCACGTGGGCATGAGCAAGCGGGGCCGGGACTAAATGATCGACAAAGCCTGTTGACAACCCCATGTTCCCAGCCTATGGCACAGATCGACACCAAACCTTCACCACCCGATGACATTTGGTCGATAATCCATTATTCCCAGAAAAGAAGCAATTAGTTCTAAGTTGAGCGCGGACTTTAAAACAAGCACATTGTTTCATCTGGGAATGGTCCTTTCCACGATGCTATCCAAACCAAGTGCGTTGCTTTCGTTAGTCAGCCTGCCTATTCATATTTGCGTCAGCTCATTTTTGTGTTGACAGTATGTTGGCACAGTTCTGGAACTGAGGCAGGCAAGAAAGGTGCACCATATGGCGACAAGAATTGGCCTGCATTTATTTTGTTATTGCTGCCTTCCGTACGTGCCCACATGCCCTAGTAATGTACAAGGTAAGGAGGCGCCTTACCAATGCTCTCCCTACAATGGAACATAAGAAACGAGATGTCAAAGACTGTATTAAAACATGGTGGGGACAATATTGGAGCATTCTTGCTTTCATTTCCAATCTTAAATGGCTGAAATATCATTCGAAATGCACGAGTGTCGTGCCGCAGTCGACGTCAGGGTAGGGTGACGTTAATATGTGACGTTAAATTTGTCGTTTCTTTACAATTATGGCGCAATGCTGCGCCAGAAATTGTCTCTCAAAAAGTTTTATAAACTCAAGCAGTCCCATTGCTTGCTTTTTTGTGACGTATTTCTTGTGCCGTTCTTTTTTACCAAACGGTTTACAACATAAGGTGTTGTAAAATTGAAGAGAAAGGAACGTCGGTAGCGTTCTTTTTATGGCAATGTCCACATGTACCACTGTGTGAACTTTGTGCGTTTGCCAGGGTGTTTGGCCCGAGCACATTTGATTTTCTTTACACATATACACTGGAAAGAACAGCAAATCATCGGTGAGAATTGGGGAATGAAAATGACCCTGTCTGCAGCCATCAACAGCGCCGCGTGACACACTGCCCACGACTGGAAAAGGGATGCGAAAGATGGGCTACGACGGAAGCTTATCGTCCCCCCCCCCCCCCACGTAGTGCTTCCTTTCAATGCACTCTGTTGTCTGACGCTGCTCACCAGAATCCCAACTGACCTCAGTATTGTCATGTCACGTGGTGAGCAACAGAAAGTAAGCGTGGTATTTGGGGTGTATTCGCAGCGTCCCGCACGACGCAGAAACTTTGCTGGCGACGTCACTCATGACGTCATACCCACATATCATGTCGCTTGGTGCTTGCAGTGACCCCGACGACAAATATTTTGTCACACGTCACATTGGATCCTTCCTGGAGGTGCAGAATCTTCTTTGACTCGATCGGGGGAGACTGAAATGCGCAGCAACAACAATGGGTCAGTTTGGGTGCCTAGGACCGCCCGTGAGTGATGAAAATATGTTTTAAGCGTCATAAAGAGCATAAGCTGCTGTTTCCACTGTCAAGAGTACTCAAAGCACCTCCGAACAAAAATATCGTATGTTTGCATGCTCAATCGTTGGCAAGACCTTTGCGAAATGCGAACAAAAGACAACATTTCTGTGTGACAATACGAGTTCGCGGATATGGCCCAAGCTGCTGAAAACTGGGCTGGTTTGCTTTCGTGGATTTCACAGGCATGTATTGGACTTGCAATACGGGACCAAGCTCTCAGTTCAATCCAGATATTGAGTGGTGTCCACTGTTTGAACATGTACTGTGTAGTGGTATCCATCAGATGTACCTGTAAACATGGTTGTAGGAGCAGGGCGGGGAGTCAGGGAGGCCATGAACCCCCAATTTTGGAGGTGTTTTTTAAAGGTGTTAAGCCAGCAGTGTGGCTGCCGTTTGTAGGCGACATCACTTCAGTGATAGATGGCGCACAACATGAAGGGCGCCGTTTGTGGTGCGAGATGGTGGCGGGAGATGGCGCTCGTGCTGGCGTTCCTAGCGCAGCGGGGCGTTTTGAAGGTGAGCGGCTCTTGTGGCGATCGCTCAGAATGTGACCAGACCACGATGCGCCAGGGACGCGTCCGCAAAGTGTGAGTAACTGTATTGGCTTAAACTGTTACGTTATTATTGTTTCAGGTCATTAGATGTATTGGTCATCATACCAGGTCGCATGTATTTTGGGGTTATTATTGTTTCACTTTCATTCAGGTTTTACGTACAATAAATCGGCAACATCAAAATGATGGCTTCGAAGCGGATAGAATGAGCCGTAGTCATGTAATGGCTGTTACAAGCGGAATTAACTGCCCCCCCCCCCCCTTTGAGATTAAGGCTGTGTGAGGCTTACTTTTGCACTACATTCAACATATGGGCCGATTTATCTAGTTTAAAACCGATTTATCTAGTAAAAAACTAGATAACCTAGATTAGCCATCCTTCTCAAGATGCGTCATCTTTTTCGGTTGCCCATTGGCCACATCTTAGTGTTACAGCCACAGAGCCGACGCCACGCGGCCAAAAGAGACTGCAACGCCGGGTATCGAGGCTGTTGCACTGACTTGTGGGCGCACATGCTCAAACCATGGTACATAGTTTTATAGTGATCAATTCTGACTGAATTCCAAACGTTTTAAGACGAGCATGGATTAGCTATGCTAATACAAACTTGGGCCCCCATTTTATCGACAATCTACGTTCAGGGAGTCCTCAATATGTCCAGAGAACACAAAAACAAGAAACCGGAGTCTATGTGACAATTATTGAACCACCTACTGCGATCAGGGATGTTTTTGCGTCAGCGAGGGTTCCTGTGCTGATCCAGGGCCAACTGCGCGAGTCAAAAGGCCTTCTGTGTAGGGGGTCTTCTGAACAATGTGATGATATATCCTTCATCTGGCCTCCGGATGGACCAGGAGATCCTGCTCCCTGTCGCTAGAACGACAGCCAGATGACACTTCGCGACTAGGCGGAGTGGCTCTTAAGTCCTTGATCGGAAACGGCAATGTACCCCTGGTGTTCTACGTAAGGGGCCCCTTGCCCGGAGGGAAATAAGGGGTCTCATTATATAAAAAAGGAGTACAGTGTAGGTCTCATTATTGTTGAATAGAGTAGGTCGAAATGAATTTTAAAGAAAACAAACAAGGCCATCCCATGTTTGCCTAAGAACGTTCATTTTTTCGGAATGGATTAGTGAAAAGTGCATCAAAAGGTTTGAACATGCCCGCCCGCAACCTCGAGAGCAGGGACAGCGATGGTCTGGGTTGCAGCTTCCGTAAAACCGAACGGCGTCGGCCACTGTGTCACCAGACGGCGGGCGCCATGTTAATCTGTCTTCTGGACCGATCAATAGTTACAGATACACGAAAAATAGAGAATCTACCCTTACTCTTCCAGTTCTACCACCAGATACCAGCTGCATTACGCAGTGCTTTAAGGGCCAATCCGTTCTTATGATCAGTCTAAAAATCGCACACGTGAAATATGAGCCCAGACTGCCTTCTAAATGTAAGATGTGATGTCATAAAGCGTTCAAGAATACAGCTTCCAGAGGCGTCATCATTTTCGTCCAAACGTTAGCCACGGCTCAGTATTAGCTGCTAGGCCGATGCAGCGCAGCCTACGGAGACTGCAACGCCCGCGGTTTACGTCACGTAACTTGTATTACTAATCTGGTAATGTGTTAAAAGGTAATTATTTCATAAGTGTGATCATTTTCGTCCACCAGTAGGCCAAGGCTACAAGTAAACCGCTGGGCTAACGCCACGTGGACTATGGAGACTGCAGCGCCTGGTGTGGAGGTTTTTGTTGTTTAGATTTGAGGGCGCGCATGTTGAAAGCGCGTGGCATGAATTGTATCGCTATAGATTCTGACCGAATAGTGAACATTTCCAGGCAAGCATGGCTTGGTCTGTTAATACACGTTGTGGACCATTTGATTTGCAATCAAATTTTTATCTTCAAATTTTGATCAGACATATCGGTCTAGTTTATTTTCGCGAAGTTCTTAATGTCTGTAGGATCCAGATGAAAATTCTGACAAAGGTTCTGAATTTCATCGGTTTATAAAGTCGTCCACGTTGAATGATGGGCAGTTAAATGTCCGTTGGGCCGATTCATACCTAAGGTAGGCAGCTTCCCGGAGGCTATTTTTCTGCTGTGGTGTGGTGTGAGGGAAGATAATTGGGGGAAAAATACTGATACAGGTGTCCAACAAATGCTTCACACACCAATTGATAGTAATGCTGATCCAGAAATATGCGACAAAGCAGCCATGCGATCAGTTCACAGTCAGTCATGCGGGGGACACCGGGCTGGGGTAGTGGCCGCCGACGGCGGACGGAAGCAGGGTCCAGATAATAAACCTACGACAGACAGGCCTTCATTATGTGGTTCTTAAAAGAGAATCTCCAGTTTTACGGTCTTTTCACATTTTTTTGGCAATTTCAAGCTTCCGAATTTGTTTCCGCCTAGAATGCTGCACAAGTCTTATCTTTTGAAAGAAGCCAGCGAAATCAAGGCGCATGAAAAGTCTGGCACGTTGTGAGCCATCAATTCACTTCGAATTCCCACTATCCTATGTCCAGGTCGTGTTTTGGCATCCACTCTGTGGAGGCAGATGCCTCCAAAATGCTTACCCGCTAGAGGGATTTCGCCTCCCCAGAAACGACAATGTTAAAATGGACGAATGATTTTGGGAGGCTGGGTAGCCTTATTTGCCGAATGACAGTTATGCGTCTAATGGGCACCAGTAAAAACAGCTTTAGATGTAAATCTAGCCTAGCATAGCGGCCATGACCTTTGAAAAAAGAGTGATGGCAAACTGCATCTCTACCCTCACCCCGGTCATCGGACTTGCTTTCCAGAAAAGTTTCTGAAGCACCCTGAGCTTGCCCCCCCCCCCCCCAATTTTTCAAACGTTCTTCATACGCCTATGCCTGTAAACCAGTGTGTGTTTGCCTGTGATCTGTGATTTATTTTATTAATGGTATGC